ATGTATTTTTGTAAAGGCTTTCACGACTTCAATTTTACTGCATAGACTGTCATGTCAAATTAACAAACAAACTTAAGTTGGAAACTCTATTAGAATAACATTAGGTTGGAATTTAACTCCTCCACAAAAACAGAAAAGATGGATTTCAAAACCCAACTTCAGGTCCAGTTTGCCTAGGTATGCAAGGAATCTGCTGTGCTAGTCTCTGGTATAAAATTAGATTATTTTCAAAGCGAACATTTTGAAAAGAGTGGAAAATGGAACCTGGTTAAAGAGTAGAACTCAGTTCCTTTAAGAGTTATAATCATCTACTACTTGCTTAAATTAAATGCTCATACCTTTTTAGGATAGCTGACTTTTAGCAGGACTATGTTGGTGAGAAGTGAAGGGTTGGACCAGCATTCTGATATTCGGGGCTTTATTTATGAGTAACAATTAGTCCTTGGTGTAAAAAAAAAAGTTAAATAATTCTTGATTCTAAGAAGCTGAAATGCCTTCTCATCTACTTTATAAAATCATAAAAACTGAGATTCTCATTTTCTCTGGCCTTAACTTGCTTTTCCTCAATTTCTATTACCATTTTCTAGTATAGCCACTAAAACCAGTTGCAGTTGAGTCAACTCTGACTCATGGCAACCCCATGTGTGTTACAGTCAAACTCTGCACCATAGGGTTTTCAGTGGCTGATTTTTCAGGAGTAGATTGCCAAGTCTTTCTTTCAAGGTGCCTCTGGGTGAACTCAAACCTGCAACGTTTTGGTTAGCAGCCGAGTGAGTTAACTGTTTGTACCACCCAGGGACTTCACTACAGTCACTAGTAGCTGCCATCCCCCAAATGCAGCTTCTGCTTTCCTTTGTTGTCCTGTCTCTTTGCTGAAGGGTTAAAATGTCTCCCCCCATTCCCATACCACCCCCTCAAACCCCAGCACAACTCACCTAAATCATGGCCATCTTTCAAATACTTACTCTCAACACATCCACTTCCACAAGTTTCTGATAACATTAAATGGGCTTGATTATATTTTGTCAATTGTTCTATATATCTCCTCTGTGACTTACCTTACTCTAATTTCTAGAATATTTATCTGTACAGTATTATCTCCTTGTTAACTCTTGATGATAGGAACTACGTATCACTCATCTCTAATGCATTACGATAGCTTGCACATGGCAGACATCCCATAAAAGTACTGAACTAAAAGGCACATTAGGAATTTAATTACTGCCTTTGAATAAACTTATCTTTTAGTATTTATACCATCTACCTTTACACTAGAATTCTAGAATTTTCTCAACTTTCCACAGAATTTAAAAGTATAGTCTTTGGGAAGATTCTATTTTCTATCGAGATGTATAAAGTGTTGAGGTTTAAAAGATCATATATTATCTTTTTAAAATTAATGTCTTGATCTTTTTAAAATTAATGCCTCCTTAAAAATAAGAAAATATACTTCTTTTATCCATAGCTCTTCCAAGTACTTCACAATCAAAAAGTGGAACATAACATGTTACCGTTCTCTGAAATACAGCTACCTCTGGGGTGAAAAGCAATAGCTTAACAAAATACAGAAACAACAACTTTTGATAGGAACTCAAGACTATACAGTCTAGCTGAAATGACATGGAACCCTGAGATGGCAAAATAGAAAGGATTTGGGAATATTTACAGCACGTAAAGAGTTTAGATCAAAACACCAGAGGATGACCGTTGTTACCAATTATAGATGCAATTTTCAAAACTGACATGACTTGAGGTAAAATTACTTACTATAGTCCATAAGAACCATCCTAGTACATAACCAACAGGTTATCTGATCTCATTCTAATGGATGGGTTTGTTTCTTTTTTCCATTTTTAAGAGTTTATTTGTTCAATTTATTTCAAAACATACAGTCTAGTACTTTATATTCTCAAATAGTTATTTGGTAGCAGTGGAATACAGATTGCCAGTTGGCTACACCAGTTCTTTGCTTGACATCCACAACATAAGAAGGGCTTAAAGGTATTCTCTATACAGGTTATAAACGAGACAAACCAAAACACTGCCCTGAACCTCAGAGGTACAGCAGGAGTGCCCTGGCTCTGTGCTGGAATCTGACAGAGCCTTCACTCCAATTCCCAGCTTAAGTGGGAAAAATTCAGACCAAAAATATCAGGATGACTTAATAAGTTCATTTACATTTGCACTATTTTTAGGTGTCCAAAAGTCACCAAAAACCATAATTTTTTTACTGTAATCCTAAGAACGCAACCTCAGTAGGCAAAAACTTGACAAATGTATTTGCATACATTAGATATTAAGCAGTACATTTGCTGGGCACTTACTTACATTTAATAGAAAGAGAATAGAAAATTAACATGACTGTGAACTTGAAACCAATTTTAGGCTTTTTAGATGGTTTCATTTTAACTTGAATTTAAATTAATACTTGTGTAACTTTAAGAAAGATGACCAAACTTAAGTTTCATTAAAGATGAAATATAAAAACATAAACACTTGTTGCCAGTAAATCTATATATTCAAATTATTCATAGTGAAATAAATTGAAATGCAAACAGGTAGGTCCTCAGTTTGACAAGTTTTCTTAGTTCTTTGTGGAGCAATCTTGCACAACTATTCAAATAACATGAGCTATAATCATTTTACATACAATATACTTTTCTTTCCCCTAAGAAAGGTACACTCTACCACTTAAACCAATTTTATTCTAGTTTTCTTCACATAAGTGTGAAAAAAGAACAGATGTTTTTCCAAAATTACTTAAGCTTGGAAGACATTCTATCATTTTCTTCAATATAATCCTTCAGAATCACCAAAGCCGTCATGGTGATATCTTAATAGCTGATTTCTTTAAAATAAGCATTATGAAATAAATAACAAGGATATTTATAACATTGTTTAGCAGATAAAATGTTTATTGTAATGAAATGTTGTGAATTACTTGCCACACTAATTTCACTGTCCAACATGGACTTTTTTTTTAATCTGTTGTTCCACATGTCAAGCGCTAAGAAGCTTCTAAAACTTAACCACATTCTACAGTTCATTCCCCACTGCCTAGATTCCCTTTTATTTTCTACGATAAAATGTTTAACTGGAGTTATCAGCTGGCTTAATCACACTTCATTATAAAACCTATTAAAACGATCTTTTTATAAAAGTGGAGTTTGCTCTGCGTTACTCCAAAAGTCCCGCAGATACTGAAATGAGAGCCTATGGAAAGCTTAAAGATGAAGAGAGCTGTCTTTGAGTTATTTTTTTCATTATGCAAAACTTGGCCCAGGAGAGATGCCCATGTACCTCATTAGCTAAAGCAAGCAAGCATGACAGGACTGCAAATTAATCTACCAGAGAAAGTTGAAGTGGATTCAGATCACTCAGGTTTCCAAGGCAGATCTAAGTCTGCTAAACTGTTACAGCAACTTGCTCAGGTCAGAATCTCAGAAATGTTTATCCTTATTGTCTCTTCCCCAATCTCTCACAGAATACAAACTTCTCCTTAAACTGAATATGCACAAGGAATGGAAAATGTTCCATGGGAACCACTATTTATGGGTACAACTCTAAGTTTTCAGGTGTAATGGGTACATACTCATGACCCCCTCAAAAATCCAATAATCCAAACGGAGGGAAAAAAAAAAAAAAAAACACTGTTGCCGTCAAGTCGATTCCGACTCATAGCAACCCTACAGGACAGAGTAGAACTGACCCATACGGTTTCCAAGGAGCAGCTGGTGGATTCGAACTGCAACCTTTTGGTTAGCAGCCGTAGCTCTTAACCACTCAAATATTTATCCCCCTCTCTTTATATTAATTACTTGCATTTATTAAGTAAAGAGTCACAAAAGACCTTGTATTATTAGGTTTAACATGTGTCATGCAGCCAATGTGATGTAGTTAGGAATAGAGTAGCAAAATCCATCATTTTTTTCAGTTATGTCATTATCTGTTAATTAACAATACCATTCATTTGGGTGCTTTCCCTCATTTTATGTTAACTTCATGTTCCTGCTGCTTTACTCTCTATATGCACTCTGAGTTGAGTGTTGTATAACAAGTTTCATTCAATTTTCCCATCCAAGTTATGAAGCCCACTGACATCAGAACTACCTAGTTCTCTAAAATGCTAGAACAATACCAGAATGGTTGCATTACAAGCCAGGACTAAGGCAAACAGTGGGTCCTCGTTTAAGTAAAATGCACTTATCTGTGTTTGACCCTGAAAAACATGCAACGCTTCTGAGAGATGGAGTCACCCGCTCCATTAGTAATATTATACAAATTCCTTAAGGAAGATAAGCAATATTTGTCCTCAGATGTTTATGAAAAAAATACATTTTTCTTTTAAGAATCAACAGACTAGGCTTCCATTTCTGGATTGTAAATGTCATCCAATTCAGGAAATCAAAAAATCTTCCCTTTCATATGCGTATTTGCTTATTTTTTACACTTTGATGATGACAGAACATCAGGTTTGAAGGGTGCCAGCGTGAATCGCCAACATGTAGAGAAATCTGAGACAGCCACAAAATCATAGAAAGTAAGGGTGATATCAGACGCATTTCAATTCAAGTCTGATGAGCCTACATTTAGGATTTTCCGGATGGACAGGTTTGCCAAGGCATTTGTGAGAGGGAGCTTTTTATTCCTCTACTCACACACACACACACACACACACAGAGAGAGAGAGAGAGAGAGAGAGACGGACGTACAGACACACACCTAGGGCGCGTTCAAACTATACAGTAGGTGCCATATAGGAATTTTTTTTTTTAAATACCTTGAGATCTGACAAAGACACGAAGGCAACATACGTGCAGTGAGTCTGGGTCTGAGAAACGTGCAGAGCCCCGCAAGCAGTGCCCGTTAAAATGAAACATTCTGAGGATGAGGAGGACAGACATGGCAAGCGGAGGGGCGGGGGCCGACAGACAATACAGAGACCCGCAGCTCCCCACCGACTGGGTTCCACATGGACCCGGCGCGTAACCCCTGCTTACTGTGTGCTCTTAGGGTAGAAAGGCAGGGTCACATGGCTGAGATCCTGGATGTCGAAGGCTGTGGGCTCAGCGGAGATCGCCTGCCGCTTGGTGCGCGGCTCACCCTGCAAGGTGCTGGCGCTCTGCTTCTGCGCCTGCTGGGTGGCCGGCCGGATCACCGAGCGGTACTTGTCCAGCTCGTTCTGCAGCTTCTGGATCAGTTCGTCCTTCTGATCCAACTCCAACTCCAGCTCGTCGATGAGAGCATCCCGCTGCCTCAGCTCCTCGATCTTCTCCTGGAGCGCGTATTGTAAATCCCGCAGGGTGCCCATGCTCCTCCGGGCTGCCGGGGGCTCCTTCCTGCCGCTGCTCCGCGTCTTGGGGCTTCCTCCCTTCTCCGATCAACTTTCCCCAAAGTCGCCGCTGCCTCCCGAGTGCAAAAGCTTCCTACTTGAGCCCAAAGCCAGCCCTGGCTTCTGAGCATGCCCAGTCCACCGGCTCCAGCCACCGAGAGTTTCAATGTGCAGATTCCACTTCTCTGGCTTTACTGAGAGGCTGAGTGCGTGGATGAGCAAAACAGCAGATCCAACCTGAAACCGGGTGGGCGCCGCGGCGCCGAGGAGAAGAGCCAGGAGGCGCGGTGGCAAGGAAGCGGGAGAAGGGGACTTGAATGGGTCTCCGCCGCAGCGGTTGGTCTGCTCGGGTCACTAGCGCCGGGCGCCAAAGGAAGCCGGCGGTGCGTGCGGGGAGCTTGATAAACCTCTGGGGCACGCTGGGGGGATGTGCCGGCGGAGCGAGGCGGGAGCACTCTTTGAGGGTGGGGAGGTGGAAGGGAGAGGGCTGGGAGGACCCCAAGCAAACTGAGGAGGCGTCAGCCGGCTCCGGAGTGTGCCAGTCTTGAGGACACTGGGCTAAGATCCTGGCGACGTACAAAGGAAGAGCGGACTCTGCATTCTAAAAGCTCTGAGTTCTGGAGGTATTTTAACTGCCAGTTTCACAGAGAAAGGATCCGGAGATGTGTGGCTGAGCACTCGCTTCTCCCACGCCGGCTTTCCCACGGGGAGCGCCTCACACAAGTGGCTAAGGCTTAAAAGAAACTTGGCGTCTCATGAGATGACAGCGAGTCCGTGCCTGGGAGGGATTCCCCCCGTACATTCAGGTGCCTTTGAGGATGGATGAGGGTGCCTAATTTTTTTCCCCTGAGCGTTGCCACTCTGCCTATTCCTGCTAGTTAAGCCCCTTGGCGCCCCTTCCAAATTAAGATTAATGAAATCGTTCTAGAGCAAAGGCTAAAAGGGATTTGGGCCCTAGGAGGCAGTTGAGCTTTTCCATTATCCCGCCCACTTGAGCTAGTGTGCGTAAATTAATTGAAGGACCTTGCTTCTTCCGTTTGCTGAGTTTGGGGGTAAAAAATCATTACCGAACTCCAAAAAGTTCATCCTGAAATTGAACCACACCTTTGAAAATATTAAAATATTACTTCTCTGACAACCAAGCTGTTAGGACGCTATCTTTCCACTTAAACGGTAAGGAAGAAACTGACGCAAACATCGGAGAAAAAAGGAAACGAAAACTAAAAGGGTTACAATAAATTGTACCAACAACCATCCCTGCTCACTCAGTATTTCCTAATTTGATGACAATTAGGTAGCAACTTGGTGTCCAAGGGTAATTCTCCCATCGTGGGGAACACATGTTAAAAATCTCCAAATATGTACCTAATCCTTACCTAAATTCCTAATATTTACCTAAATCTTCTCCAATTCATCCACTTTTTTTTAGAATCTTTATTAGCCCCCTAATTACTATTCTTGGAACACCCAATATTACAATCCTCAATGCTTTATTTGGCCAGCCCTTAACACTAAAACAAAGAAAATAGAAAATAGGTTAAAATGGAATTACAATTCAGAGCTATTCACTGGAATCTAAACTCAGCCAAGGACACAAATACCAGTCTCAAAAATTTGCTCGCTTTTGCTTTTGAATGTACAACTTTTTCTGTCTGAGTTTAGGGAAAAAAAGGAGGAAAAAAAGGAAGAAACAGCTAGCCAATGGTATGTTAACAAGCTTTTCATTTAAAATGTACTTGTTTGTAATTAGAGGTGTAAATGACAAAGAGTATACAGTCCTAAACATTCTTCCACACAGATTATGATCTAACTCACTTTAGTACAAATGATAGAAGGCAATTTTTCTGCTTTCTGACACAGACATTGTGAGAAGTACATTTATTTCGGAATGCAACATCTAAAGTGGATAATTCCCGAGACATTTTCATCTGTAATGAACAAAACATGAATAGTTTACAAATACTGACAGCAATAAATAATAGCACTGAATTATTGTTGTTTTAATTAAGACAAGCAGAAGTACTGTGACTTTGTATAACGGACTGTTTTGAAAGAGCTTTAGTGATACTTCCTTCTCCCAGGCAGAAGGCCAAATTACTTAACTTATGGAAATTCTTTAATTCCATGGGGAAGATTTTTAAAACTAAATGACTTTTTCCTATAGATCTATTACAGGAGTCAACGAGGCCAAGAGTTTATGTCTAAAAATACGTCAGAAAGCAATGTATAGGGGACATCATTAGACAATTGCTAAACAGGCTTTTGATTTTAAAGTTTGAGGCTTAAATAAGGGTTACCTAATATCTGAGGAAACCCTGGTGGCGTAGTGGTTAAGAGCTATGGCTGCTAACCGAAAGGCTGGTAGTTTGAATCTACTAGGTGCTCCTTGGAAACCCTATGGGGCAATTCTCCTCTGTCCTATAGGGTTGCCATGAGCTGGAATTGACTCAACAGCAATGGGTTTGTTTGGTTTTGGTTTAATATCTCTACTGAGTGGAGTTCCTGGATGGTGTAAACAGTTAAGTGGTTGGAAGTTTGAGTCTACCCAGAGACACCTAAGGAGAATGACCTGGCCATTTACTTCCAAAAATTCAGCCCCTGAAAACCCCATGGAGCCCAGTTCTACTTTGCCACATATGGGGTCGCCATGAGTTGGAGTTGACTTGATGGCAACTGTTTTTTTAATGTCTCTGAGCAGCAAAAGGAGCCCTGGTGGCAAAGTGGTTAAAGAGCATGGCTGCTAACCAAAAGGTCAGCAGTTTGAATCTACCAGCTGCTCCTTGGAAACCCTACAGGGTAGTTCTACTCTATCCCATAAGTTCCCTATGAGTCAGAATCAACTTGATGGCAATGGGGGTTTGGTTTTTTGGTTTTTGAGCCACATAGAGAAGATTATTTCTAATTTGTAGACAGTCTCTCTACATATACAAAGGAAAATAGAATCTATTCTTCCCAAAATATAAAAAATACCACTTCAACCTAAAATATTCAGGTATTTTGATCAGAAGAGTTTTTAAAACTGAATTGTGTAGTTTTTCACTATTTAAGCTAGCATATCGACACACAACTAAAGGACACACTTTACATACACACATTACATTTTCATTTTAAATGGAATTCTTGTGTTAACAAAATACATTCTCCACAATGAATCCAATACTGAGAGTCAGAAATCTGTTATAACAATCATAGTAATGGCTGAGAAGGTATAAAACTATTACAACTGTTTTACCATTTAAAAGGTGTCCAAGGTATAGGATATATTCAGTGATAATTAGTTATGAAGAAATAATTTAATTTTTCCTTAAATACTTTATATATGGAAAATTCAGAATATAAAATATTTCCTTACTTTATAATTATATATGCAAAATTCAGAATTTTCTCTTTCATCCTTAAAGTCAAAATAAATATTTTAAGTAAGTTTTTCAATGATATTCTTAGCTGATTGTTTAGAGCTTGAGGGACCTGATTTCCATCTGAGAATTTTGCCTGATTCCTATATTAAATATCTTTGGCACTGTACTTGGTAACTGCTAGATTAATCAAGATCCTGCAATTATATTTCAACAAAGACAGATTTTACCATAAAATCTTTACTATGTGTCCCAAAGTAATCTTAATTGGTAAAATTACAAGATCAATGCTACTTTCTGCTCATTAGGAAGTAGCTACCACAAATCTGGAATGGAATACAATGGAATGGAGTGAAGTGGAGCGGCAAGGACTAAGCTCTCATCCACTGCTCATTAGGAAGTAGCTACCACAAATCTGGAATGGAATACAATGGAATGAAGTGGAGCAGCATGGAAGAGCTCTCATCCACTGCTCATCTGGGATGGGGTGTGATGCTCACAAAACAATGCAATTTTGAAGGAGCTGAGTTCCCACTCTAGAATTCCATAGTCAACCTACAACCTGCTTTTTAGTAGTTTCTCTTCATCACAGCTTTAAGAGAAGCAACATTCTGCCAGTAGCCAGATCAAACTGTGGCTTACTGAACTCGAATATGCTCTTCAATTTTGTACCCAACCCTTCTGATTGAGAATGAGTATTACTACCATATTCCTTAATGGAATCTGAGACTCATTTAATGAAACATTCAATAATGTTTTTTGGCTTTACTATAATACTGGCTATTAAAAAAATAGTAAAGACTGTAGAATCTAGCATCCTTCACTAAAAACATAATTAGCCTCAAAAGAACTATCATAATTTTATCCTCTACTTTTTCATTCCACTGATGCTACATTCCTTGGAAGAGTCCCAACTTTGAAATCTTCTGCCATTTCATGTGTATATGTTGAGGACGAGGGAGGGGGCTGAGCTTTTTAGGTGATGGAAGCTACCCCTTGCAGATGATTTCTGAAAGTAACATGTACTCCTAAGAATCTAGATATGAAGGTTACTATTACTTTCAGATATACCAACTTGCTCTAAAGTTGCTAATCATAATCAAAATCACAATAATAAAAAATAACTTTCTTGAACTCAAAATGCATGACAGGCACTGTTCATGTAACCCTACAAGGTGGGTATTATGATTTCCATTTACAGCTGAGAAAACTGTAGCACAAAAGCACCCACCGAATGAATGATGGAGCCTGGATTCAAATCCAGACCATTTGGCGCAGAGCTCAAGCCCCTACCACTGCCCCTTGTTGCCTCCTGCAGGACTTCCAAGTGTTGCTGCTATGTCTTAGTCCTGGGTCCAGGGAAATTGGAATGTTTGCAGTGTTAATTAGCTGGACTTTTGGGTTTTGGGAGGTAGAAAGAGGAGAAAATTTGGAAAATCCTGAAAGAGCAGGGAACAAATTTTTTTTTAAAGTTCCTCTTCCCAAAATTATCTTCACTCCAACACCATTTCATCTTGCTTTAGGGTGACTAACTTGTACCCATTTGCCTGGACTGTTCTAGTTCTAAAACTAAAAGTCCTAAGTACCCCTCAGTTCCGGGCAAACCAGAACAATTGATCACCTGTTTAATTCAGCATTGCTAAGCCTCTCTAACTTACGTTTTCTAATTTTGCTCTCAAAGTAAAGCCAAGGAAAATCTGTAATGATAATACCTAGTATTTTAGGTACATTATAAACCCACTTACACTTTAGTTCGTGTAAATATGTTTTAAGAAAGCAATCATCCAATTTCAATGCATAATAATACACC